TTTTTTGATAGTAGCTGTCGCAATGGACGTGAGGTAGTAAACAATGTGGAATTTTGTCCTGGAGGAGGACTTCTCAGCCTCTGGTTTGTCTTCTCGATTTTCTATAACTGAGATTTTTGAACAGAAGTTTTTAATTCTAATGAAGTCCAAAATACCAATTGTTTTCTTTTTGACAGATGCTTTTAGTGTCCTGCACAATCTCTGCCGATGAAAGTCTGAAAGATTTTTCACTTGTATCTTCTTCTAGAAGGTTTACAGTTTTAAATTGACATTTGGGTCTCCAAGGCACTCCGGCACTCCGGAACTCTGGGATGCATCATCCAGGGAATATTTGTGGTCATGCACAGTGTGCAGGTCAACTGCTTGGCAAGATGAACCAGATACTGAGGCATTTTATGGATATTTTTGCCACTTAAATTACTCGAATGCATGGTTTGGTGATGTGACTGCCGTGGAATTAGTCAGCCACATAGGGATCAAAGAAAAGCAACTGGAATTAATAAGAACCTACGGAGAGATTTTAGCAGTGCGCTCTTCTTTTGTTTCTAGATGTTGGGGTGTGTAGTTTCTTTCTATATCCATTTTCTAGAAATTCTGAATATATAGAAATGATTTGTGAAGTAATCACTATTATCCGTATTTCGTATCACTCTGTGTCTAGTGATGAGCAGGGCTCCTGAACCAGGAGCAGAACCTCAGGGGGGCCTTGTATGGCCCAGCGCCTCCTGGTCTTCAGGAGCTCGAACCTCTCCAGGCGCAGGGGTGATGTGATTTGCTGCAGAGTCTGAACATGGAGTAGCGTGCTGGGTTTGCGGGGAGCTCGGCCTTTGCATGTTTCATATTCAACTTTTGTGCTCATTTAGTGGGAAGAGTGTGACATCCTCAGTAAAGTGTCAGGACTGAGTCAGAAGCTTCACAGTACCAGTCAATCAAAGCCTGGCCTGACCCCCTTCCAAGGGCAAACAGACACCACACACTTTCTTCCCTGAATCAGGAAATGCGTAACCGCCCACAGCTAATGCTTAGCAAGCATGACCTTGTGCAGGACGCATCACAGGGGTTTACACACGGCTCCCCTTTTCCTGGGCCTGTTGATTCTACACGTGGATACATCCTCACGGTATAGGATTCAAGCAGTAAACATCTGGGTCCCCCTTCACAGCTTTACCCACATCTACGCTGCTTCCCAGGCCCGAGCCTCCAATCATTTTCTACTCCTGTGTACCCTCCCACGCCCTGCAACTTTTTTTGAAAAATCTTAAAGCTGTAGAATGAAAATTTCATATTTTTCACTTAGATCCATCAATTATTAATGTTTTGCCACATTTTCTCTCTTTATATATTCGTACATATGCATTCTGTCCGAGGCTTACTTTAAATGACTGAGCACGTGTGTGTGTTTGCTGGATGCTGGGTGTGTGTGGTATGTGTCATTTAAAATAAGCACTTTACAAATGTCACAACGTTTCACCTCCAACATGTAGCACCTGAAAACAAGGCAGTACTCTTCATTTCTCTAGAAATGTAACCGGCACGTAACCAGGAATGTCCTAAGGAATAAGGGAGAAATTCATACTAAAGACACTGGGTTCTTCTTTTTGATCCTTTAAAAAAAGACACATAGGGCGCCTGGGTGGCTCAGTTGGTTAAGCGACTGCCTTCGGCTCAGGTCATGATCCTGGAGTCCCGGGATCGAGTCCCGCATCGGGCTCCCTGCTCAGCAGGGGGTCTGCTTCTGCCTCTGACCCTCCCCCCTCTCATGTGCTCTCTCTCTCAGTCTCTCTCAAATAAATAAATAAAATCTTTAAAAAAAATAAAAAAATAAATTAAAAAATAAATTAAAAAAGACACATAAAAAACTCCAACAGAATCTAAATATAAACTACAACCCTCTGTTGTCCCAACCCCAGCCGTCCCCATATACTTTCTGTGCACACTAGGGTCATGGTGTACATTCTGTTCTGAGCTCAACAGTGTGTGTTGGAGCTCTTGTGGTCACATACAGATCTGTCCCATTAATGTTTTATTTTTAAAATGGTTTTGGAAAAGTTTCAATAGGTGATACATTTACTAGTTTAACAGTCTAACTAGAGAAACGTTCAGGGACAAGTCTCGTTTTCATCCTTGGTCCTGCCTTCCCTGTGCACCTCCCCCCCCACCCAGTGTTTGGGGTTTGATCTCAGAGCTCCCTAAGCCAACTGGAGCTTTGCTTCTTCTTTCCCTTTTCACACAAAAGGTAGGGCACACACACTGGCCACACTTAGGCTTTTTCCACTTAGCAATAAATATGTCTTGGTGTTAAGATAACATGATTTCTAAGAATATATGTGTAGGTGGGTCTGAATAACCCTGCAGTATGTGGACAGACTGTTTCAGGTGTTTGACCAAGAATTAAGCTGTTATTTCTTTTTTTCTTTTTTAAGATTTTATTTATTTAGGAGAGAGAGAGAGAGAGAGAGAATGAATGGGGGAGGGGCAGAGGGAGAAGCAGGCTTCCAACCAAACAGGGGCTCGATCCCAGGACCCCGGGATCATGACCTGAGCCGAAGGCAGGTGCTCAACTGACTGAGCCACCCAGGCGCCCTTAAGCAGCTATTTCTGATACAAACTGTGGGCAGTGTGTTTTGAGGGCAGGAAATCTAAACTGTAAACTGCTTATATATGTCAGCTTCTTTGCGGGTGATGAAGTCTTGGGTGGCCTTTGAGATTTTTGATTGACATGTGTTTCCTAGAGGCTTTGGAGGTGGTGTTTTTGTTAAAGGAAAATACATTAAATATGTATGTGAAATAGCGCATTCTCATAGAATACCTTGTGTTTTCGTGATTCCTTTTATCTGGGGATCTCAAAGAACTATTCCAACATCCATGGAGGTATGGTAGCTGTCACTCTTTGTATTTTACAGGCAGGGAAACTGAGGCTCACGGCATGGTAAAAGTCACGGCATCATCAACATTGACGTTTTATAGGGCGTTCAGGGGACGCCGGGCACAAGGGTAAATTCAGGTATCATGCCAGGTGGCCACTACTCAAAAGCAGTTGGTTTGGGTGCCTGGGTGGCTCAGTTGGTTAAGCGACTGCCTTCGGCTCAGGTCATGATCCTGGAGTCCCTGGATCGAGTCCCGCATCGGGCTGTCCCGCATCGGGCTCCCTGCTCGGCAGGGAGTCTGCTTCTCCCTCTGACCCTCCTCCCTCTCATGCCCTCTGTCTCTCATTCTCTCTCTCTCAAATAAATAAATAAAATCTTTAAAAAAAAAAAAAAGCAGCTGGTTTTCCTTCTCAGGCCGCTGGGTTAGTCCTCTGTTCTTTCCCCATTTCCTGAAAGAACCCAACTGCCCCAGAGACGGCAGTGTGAGAGCTTCAAGATTTAATGAGTTCCTCACTATTCCTGTTTCCTTTCAGAAGATTAGGGAACTTCTCTACTGCTCAACTCTCACGCATGTGCACCGTGTCTCGCAACCCCCCGTGTTCCCTAAGATCGTCCATCTCCGATCGCCACGCTGACTCCTTCCCAGTGGTCCCACCTGTCTCGACCTTTTCTTCTTCCTGTGTTTTGAAGGAACAGCTGTAAATCCCTCTTTTTCAAAGTGAGTTCCCTGCGTTCAAGCTTTGTCCTGAAGCTCTGGACCTCCTCCGAGAAGGAACTCCTTTACCGATTGCTTTTCTCTCCTGTTCTGTTGTGCCCACTGGCTTTGGCTGGAAATGTGCTGGAGGGCCTTTGGGGGCAACAGCAGAAACAACAAAACACAACTGGAGAAACCCCAAGCCTTTCCTTGACCTTCCTTCTCCAGCCACTGACTTTCTTCCTTGGTCTATTCCAGGACAAATGCCCCCAACCCTGCCTGGGTCCCCATGAAGCACCCCTCTGCCATTCGGACTGTTGTATAAGTACCGCGCGCTAACCGATTGCGCCACTGGAGCTCCCCCCCTCTGCCATTCGGGGCAAGGACCAGACTCCTGCAGGTACCCATCAAAGGCCACCCGCACTTTCATCCTGAATGTTCTGATCTCTCCTTTGTTTTGAACTTGGTATTAACCCAGCCTTTTTTTCCGCACCATTTCCTGGGCTCCCCTGCTGCCTGCTACCCCTCCTTTAGCTTCTCCTTCTCCTCCCAGGTGAGGAGCCTCTCAGACCTCGATTTTGTTGCTGGAATTGTCTGCCTTCCCGTAGTTCTTGGTCACGCCGCTTCCAAGAATGAAGGGGTAGACCAGGCAAGAGTGGTGGGCAGCAAAGCAATGTTTACTGAGCGATAGTACAAAGCTCCCAGAGAGGGAGGGGGCCCGAGTGGTTGCCCTCGGAGTTTCTTTTTTTTTTTTTTTTTTAACGATTTATTCATTTATTTGAGAGAGCGAGAATGAGAGGGAGTACATGAGAGGGGGGAGGGTCAAAGGGAGAAGCAGGCTCCTCGCTGAGCAGGGAGCCCGATGCAGGACCCGATCCTGGGACTCCAGGATCATGACCTAAGCTGAAGGCAGTTGCTTAACCAACTGAGCCACCCAGGCGCCCGCCCTCGGAGTTTCTAAGTTTAGGGGTTTTCATGCACTCTTCTGCGGCACATTCTTTTTTTTTTTTTTTTTAAGATTTTATTTATTTATTTGACAGAGAGACACAGCGAAAGAGGGACCACAAGCAGGGGGAGTGGGAGAGGGAGAAGCAGGCTTCCCGCCTAGCGGGGAGCCTGATGCGGGGCTTGATCCCAGGACCCTGGCTGGGATCATGACCTGAGCCGAAGGCAGACGCCCAACGACTGAGCCAGGCGCCCCTCTGCGGAACATTCTTAAGCAACCAGGGTGTACTCAGTTGTGCCAATCATGGCTTTGATCACACATCTGTCTACCTATCAGATTCATGTCTACATGCTGATGGTCTTTTTTTGCTGACATCTGGGGACTTGTGTCTTAACTGCCCCTTGCCTGTGCTAGGCGATGTAGTTTTTGAATATTTTTTGGTGAGGTCTGATGTGGTCCAGAGTGATGACCTAGAAAGAATTCTTGCGACGCCTTTGGTGCAAAATGGTTTTATTAAAGCACAGTGACAGGACCTGTGGGCAGAAGGAGCTGCTGCCCTGGGAATTTTTTTTTTTTAGGCTTTTTTTTTCTATGTTATGATAGTCACCATACAATACATCATTCGTTTTTGATGTAGTGATCCACAATTCATTGTTTTCATATAACACCCAGTACATGCTCTCCTTAATACCCATCACCGGGCTAACCCATCCCCCTACCCCCCTCCCCTCTAAAACCCTCAGTTTGTTTCTCAGAGTCCATAGTCTCTCATGGTTCGTCTCCCCCTCCGATTCCCCCCGTTCATTTTTCCCTTCCTTCTCCTAATGTCCTCCATGCTATTCCTTATGTTCCACGTATAAGTGAAACCGTATGATAATGAGTAGCAATTGATTCTATTCTTTGGGGTTGGGGGAAGTAAAGATAAGGAAAGTTCCAAAAGGATTTTCATATGCTAGAGAAGATTCACAGGATACTGGAGACCTGGCTATTATCAAACTAAGGTTGCTTTTCCCTCTGGCAGAGCATTAACATGAAGACTGGAGCTTCCTGCAGGAACACGATACTCTGCCTGCCTCAAGTATTTGTCAATGGGCTGCAGGTGATAAGGACATTTAATTTTATCTGTGTTTCCTTCTGCCTTCGTTTCCCACATCAGTGGGGACACAAGCCTTGTGGTTGTCTTATTTAAGGATGTTTTGCAGAAATCTTTTCTGCCAAGGCTGCAGAACAGAGTGCTGGTGGGGTCCTGTCTAAGTGCAGAACAGGACGTCAGTGCAGTTTTATTTTAGCTGTCCTCACTCCTTATTTTCTTGTTGGGGACCCCGGCTCTGACGACCTACCTGTCCCACCAAGTCCTCTAACAATTTCAGCTTTGATGGGTCTTTGAAGCCCCAGGTAATAACTGGTGACCTTGTCTTCCCTGTAGTTTTAGTTACACCCCCTTCACCATGCTCCCTCCTCAGGGCCCACACCTTAGCTCTCTCTTCACTCCCCCAAGCCGGCCCCTCCCTTGATTACCCAGTGTCTATGCCCATCTCCCGGTTAAATACCTTAGCTGTGCGGAATTGAGTTTATTTTCCCTTTCCTTGGCCCTAGCACGTCTGGTCGAGCAGATCCTCATGACTGCTCCTGTGGAGTCCGGAACACTTCCAAAGTTGTCAGCGTCGTGGTTTCTTTCAGTTGTCCCAACATGATTTGCCGCCGCCCGCTCTCTTGGGACAAATGCTGCCCCTCGCTCATTCCTCAAGGCCCCTTTCACTTGCGAAGGGAACCCTCAGCTGCAGAGGTTACAATGTTCCGCCACAGAAGGAAGGAAGAAGTCTGGTAGCAACACATTCTAGCTGCATGCTCTTTCCGCAGGGCGTCCGCTGTCAGCCCCGGTCCTTGGCTGCCCACAGTCACTGGGGAATCTCGTGAACTTCTGCACCAATGCTCTTCTCCTCAGAGAAGCCTCTTACCCATAACGTAGCTGGGTCACAGGGAGTGCATGAGCACCTGGTTCCAGGGGTCCCAAACACAACAGGTTCAGCCACTGGCCGCTGACAAAATCCAAAGGTAGAGAGATGAGTGGCGGCGAAAGAAGAATTTACTTCAGTGAGGCCAACGCTGGGAAGACAGCGGGCTAGTGTCTCAAAGACACTAGCTGGAATACTTCTGGGTTTATAGAAGGAAAATGTGGGGCAAAGGAGGGTGGGTCCCTGCAGGCCCTAAAAGTCAAATGGATCACTGTTTTGGAGTCAATCACGCAGGGGTCTCGCTGGCCCAGGCAGTCCTTATGCTCCAGGGGGGAGTTTCGGTTCCCACCAGAGAATGCTTTGTCCTCAGGGTCTTCCGCCTAAGCCAAGGGACCAGCTGGAAAGAAGAACCCACTGGAAAGTTTGAAGTCAGAATGGAGGCAGCCGAAGTCCACTTTCACCTACACACACACACACAGGAATATAATTTTATAAAGATGGTTTCACATTATACCCACTATCTTAATGTATCTTGGATGTGTTTGTTGTCAAGAAATAGAACAGCACTGGGGCGCCTGGGTGGCTCAGTCTTTTTTTTTTTTTTAAAGATTTTATTTATTTGAGAGAGAGAGAGAGAGAAAGAGCACAAGAGGGGGGAGCAGGAGAGGGAGAAGCAGACTCCCTGCTGAGCAGGGAGCCCGATGCGGGACTCGATTCCGGGACTCCAGGATCATGACCTGAGCCGAAGGCAGACGCTTAAAGACTGAGCCACCCAGGGGTGCCTGGGTGGCTCAGTTGGTTAAGCGACTGCCTTCGGCTCAGGGTCCTGGGATCGAGCCCTGCTTCGGGCTCCCTGCTTGGCGGGAAGCCTACTTCTCCCTCTGCCTCTGCCCCTGTTCCTGTACTCTCTCGCTCACTCTCTCTCTCAAATACATAAATAAAAAAATCTTAAAAAAAAAGAAAGAAATAGAGCAGCATTATTATCTTTATGGCTGGCCTGGTTATTTCCTGGGAAGGAGCAGCTGGTTGTCTGGCAAAGCTGTGATCAATAACCTTGTAGGTACCCTTTGTTCTCTTTCTTTCCTGCATTTATCGTCTTTGGGAAATTTCTACAAATGTTGTTCTTGAATCAAACATAAATTTCACAGTTTGATAAAAATTGCCAAGCTGTCATTCAGGACCTTCAGCTGGGGTTCTCCGACTCTGGGATGGGCTTGGCCGGGTGAGTGTGCGCAGGGTGTGTGTGAGGTCTGCCGATTCCTTCCTGTCAGGTGCACGTTTTTCTGGGGAGAAGTTTGTACCTTTTATCAGCTTCTCAAAGAGGCCGTGACACAGAAGAACTATCATTTACTGAGCATTACTCTGGGCCAGGCTGAGATGACCTCACCGCAAGCTTATTATCCCCATTTTACAGATGAGGCAACCAAGTCACAGAGTCTCCCTAGTCTTCTGCCCACCCTGCAAACCACAGGTGTGTCTATGCTTGGCTTCCCTTTCCCACCAGATAGGGAGTAAAGTCCTTGCCGTCCACACAGGCAATTATTTTCCATCCTCAGGGTTTGAAGCCTTTGTACCCAGCAGGCTGACCTGCGCACTCCCTGCAGGCCGCCTTCCTGCTCGGCACTCTGTCTCCTCATCCCTCTCTAAAAATGTGCTTCAGCCCAGTTTAAATCCTTGCTGTTCCATTTTGAGGTGATCCTACTCTGGAGTTTCCAGTAGCATCACCATCTGGGCTAACATTAATCTTGGAATAAATCCTCAATCTTATTTTGAAAGATTCTTCCTGTTTTTTACTTAAAAGAGTTTTTTTTTCTTTTAAGAGTCACTTAAATGTTGCCATGTCATTTAATGTTCAAATAATGCCATGTCATATAATGTTTATTTCTGTACACCCAGAGCACCACGTGGATCCCATCAGGGCGGGAGCCTTGTTTTGTCCTAGTTGGTTTTTCTTTTTGTTCCTACTTGGTTTTTTGATAATACAGTTCACTGCACTGACAGATGTTTTAATAATTTTTTTTTTTTGGAGGGAGGATGAACAAGTTATTTGTAGCTAGCCTGCCACTTACTATTTAAAATTCATGTTTCAAAAAATAAAATAAAATTCATGTTTCTGTCCTGTCTGCATTTCAAGATGAGCTCACACTTGCTGTAGGGACTTATTTAAACATGAATTGTCACATGATAGGACTGCCAGCCCTGGAAGGGACCTGAAACTCCATCAGCCGGCTGGTATATACTGTTACACGTGACAGAGCCAAACTGTGCATAGACCTGAATTAAATTCCAGTCTCTGCTTGGGTTTTATCGTGAGGTGTCCATACCAATAGCAAATATTGTGTTATTCCTTCCTTTTGACCATTCTTATAACCTACTAAAAGAAAGAATAGGAAACTGACTCAGATAAAGACATTTTTTTTGCTTTCTTTTGCTAACTGGTCACTTACTAAAAACTATGGTGTAAGTGATACAATGAATATTTAAGAAACACAAGAAAAGATGGGCGCCTGGGTGGCTCAGTTGGTTGAGCGACTGCCTTTGGCTCAGGTCATGATCCTGGAGTCCCTGGATCGAGTCCCGCATCAGGCTCCCTGCTCAGCGAGGAGCCTGCTTCTCCCTCTGACCCTCCCCCCTCTCATGTACTCTCTCTCATTCTCGTTCTCTCAAATAAATAAATAAATCTTAAAAAAAAAAAAAAAGAAACACAAGAAAAGAATATACACAATATAAAACAATCTTTTGTTTTTAAGTAGTACCAGGGAGCAAGAATTCCTCTTCTCTTCAAGGTCCTTCTACCTGGATCAGGATCAAATTAACATGAGATATAGATTAGCAGGAAAAAAATCAAATTTAACAGCTTACACATGGGGCATCCACAGAGGGAAATTCCAGAGACAGTCAGACAAAATGAGGTATATATGTCATCCCGAATTAAGAAAAAGGTAAGGGTCTGGGACTTTGAAGGAAGGAATGTAATTCACAGGGCAATAAGAAAAAGCAAATGTTTGCTAATTAGCTGTTTGTCCTGCCATTGGATGGGTCCCTCAGATAAAATTTATCTCTGGTAATGACCAGTGTTCTTGGAAAGACTCCCAATTTAGATTCTCCTATGTAATTAAGGAAGGGGCAAAAAAATTCTGTTGAGCCCACAGGGTCCCCGTTGCCTTCAGCTCAAAATAACCTTCATGCCAGAGTGGCCCATCTTGGGGCAGCCTGCCCTTAGGCCCCAGAGTAGGAAAACCTAGAGCCAGGGCTACCTAAGCCTTCCAGATGCCTATAGTGAAGGTTATTAGTCAGATGCTATCAATAAAAAACGTTGAAAGTATCTTTTACTAAAGGATCTCAAGGCCTTAGATCAGTTGGGGAGGTTGGGAGAAGAGTTGTCCCTTCTTTGCTCCTAGGTTCTTTGCTCTTCTACTAAGTAAATTGACCTAAGACCGAGTAACAGGAAGAAAGCAAACAGAAGTTTAACAAAGTCTCCTGCATACATAGGAGACACCCAGGAAAACCGACGGGCTCCCTGAAACGGTCCAAGGCCCCACCTTCAAAACGGCCCGAGCGGAAGCCAGAGGATGGCATGCAGGGGTGGGCGTGGGGGGTCGGCTCCAGGAGGGGAGCGGGAGAGGCGCGCAGGCAGGGGTGGGCGCGGGGGGTCGGCTGCAGGAGGGGAGCGGGAGAGGCGCGCAGGCAGGGGTGGGCGCGGGGGGTCGGCTCCAGGAGGGGAGCGGGCGAGGCGCGCAGGCAGGGGTGGGCGCGGGGGGTCGGCTGCAGGAGGGGAGCAGCAGAAGAGCGCATGCAGGGGTGGGCGTGGGGGGTCGGCTCCAGGAGGGGAGTGGGAGAGGGGCGCATGCAGGGGTGGGAGTGGGGGTCGGCTCCAGGAGGGGAGCGGGCGAGGCGCGCAGGCAGGGGTGGGCGCGGGGGGGGGGTGTCACCGCCAGGAGGGGTGCAGCAGAGGAGCGCAGGCAGGGGTGGGCGCGGGGGGTCCGCTCCAGGAGGGGAGCGGGAGAGGCGCGCAGGCAGGGGTGGGCGCGGGGGGGGGTGTCACCGCCAGGAGGGGTGCAGCAGAGGAGCGCAGGCAGGGGTGGGCGCGGGGGGTCCGCTCCAGGAGGGGAGCGGGAGAGGCGCGCAGGCAGGGGTGGGCGCGGGGGGTCCGCTCCAGGAGGGGAGCGGGAGAGGCGCGCAGGCAGGGGTGGGCGCGGGGGGGGGGTGTCACCACCAGGAGGGGTGCAGCAGAGGAGCGCAGGCAGGGGTGGGCGCGGGGGGTCCGCTCCAGGAGGGGAGCGGGAGAGGCGCGCAGGCAGGGGTGGGCGCGGGGGGGGGGGTGTGTCACCGCCAGGAGGGGTGCAGCAGAGGAGCGCAGGCAGGGGTGGGCGCGAGGGGTCCGCTCCAGGAGGGGAGCGGGAGAGGCGCGCAGGCAGGGGTGGGCGCGGGGGGTCCGCTCCAGGAGGGGAGCGGGAGAGGCGCGCAGGCAGGGGTGGGCGCGGGGGGGGGGTGTCACCGCCAGGAGGGGTGCAGCAGAGGAGCGCAGGCAGGGGTGGGCGCGGGGGGTCCGCTCCAGGAGGGGAGCGGGAGAGGCGCGCAGGCAGGGGTGGGCGCGGGGGGGGGTGTGTCACCGCCAGGAGGGGTGCAGCAGAGGAGCGCAGGCAGGGGTGGGCGCGGGGGGTCGGCTCCAGGAGGGGAGCGGGCGAGGCGCGCAGGCAGGGGTGGGCGCGGGGGGGGGGGTGTCACCGCCAGGAGGGGTGCAGCAGAGGAGCGCAGGCAGGGGTGGGCGCGGGGGGTCCGCTCCAGGAGGGGAGCGGGAGAGGCGCGCAGGCAGGGGTGGGCGCGGGGGGGGGTGTCACCGCCAGGAGGGGTGCAGCAGAGGAGCGCAGGCAGGGGTGGGCGCGGGGGGTCCGCTCCAGGAGGGGAGCGGGAGAGGCGCGCAGGCAGGGGTGGGCGCGGGGGGGGGTGTCACCGCCAGGAGGGGTGCAGCAGAGGAGCGCAGGCAGGGGTGGGCGCGGGGGGTCCGCTCCAGGAGGGGAGCGGGAGAGGCGCGCAGGCAGGGGTGGGCGCGGGGGGTCCGCTCCAGGAGGGGAGCGGGAGAGGCGCGCAGGCAGGGGTGGGCGCGGGGGGTCGGCTCCAGGAGGGGAGCGGGCGAGGCGCGCAGGCAGGGGTGGGCGCGGGGGGGGGGTGTCACCGCCAGGAGGGGTGCAGCAGAGGAGCGCAGGCAGGGGTGGGCGCGGGGGGGGGTGTCACCGCCAGGAGGGGTGCAGCAGAGGAGCGCAGGCAGGGGTGGGCGCGGGGGGTCCGCTCCAGGAGCGGAGCGGGAGAGGCGCGCAGGCAGGGGTGGGCGCGGGGGGTCGGCGCCAGGAGCGGAGCGGGAGAGGCGCGCAGGCAGGGGCTCGCACGCCACGTCCCCCCTGCACAGAAACGCCCGCTTACAAACGGATCGCTTCGGCTCAGACCGACACCTGGGCCCGCAGTTTCTAAACATGACCGCCTGGGCTAATCAACGTCAAAGAGGCCTGTCCCGGGCGGCGGGTTTCCCCGCCAGCCAGCGTTGCAGGCGGCCGCGGCGGGCGGACACTGGGGGAGGCCGACGGCCGCGGGCCAGGCCAGGCCACCTCGACCGGCCGCCGCCGCCCGGGTCGGGGACGCCGGGGAGCGCTCGCGGGGGCTGCTCCCCTCCGCCCCCGCCCAAGTCCGGCCTCAAGGAACCTTCGGGAAGGCGGGCGGGGCGGGCGCATGCGCGGCGACAGGGCCGGGCGGAAGTGCACGTCGCCGCGCCGCCGCCGCATGACGCACTTCCTGTTTGTTGTCGGAGAAAGGAGAGAAAGGAAAGCGCGAGGAGCCGCCGCCGCCGCCGCCGCCGCCACCGCCGCCAGCGCCGCCAGCGCCGCCGTGCCGGAGTCGAAGGGACCCGGCCGCCGCCCCGCCGCGCCTCCCGCTCGCCGCCGGCTCTCTGTCCTCGGTGAGGGCCGCCCGCGGGCGGGGTCGGGCTCGGGCGCTGTGGGGCCGGGGAGTCGGCTCGGGCCGGGGTCGCGGCCCTGGGGCCTGCTGCGGGGCCGGGTTTCGGGGGTGGGCGTCTGCCGGTGGCCAGGGGCCCGGGGTGGGCCAGGGTGGGCGTCAGGCGGGGGGCGCCGGGGCTCGCGGGTCGGGGGTGGACTTCGGGTTCCCGGGGCCGGCGGCTGGGCCTGCGGGTCAGGGGTGGGCGTCGGGCTGGGGCGCGCGGGTCCCGGCGCGGGGCCGGGGGCTCCGCGAGTCGGGGCGGCGTTCGCCCTTGGCCCGCCCCGCGCCGGCGGTTGGGCCGGGGCCCGTGCGGGCCCGGGCTCGGCAGCGGCAGGGGCCCTGCGGCGGGAGGGGCTGTTCTTCCCCTTGTTTTGAAGCCCCGCGGGGATGGCCGTGGAGCCAGAAACGGGGTAGGTTTTCAGGAGGAGCAGCAGCCTCGCGGGAGGCCGCGCCCCGAAGCACGGAGACCAGGAAGCGGCTCCGGGAGCCGCGGAGCCGCGTTCCCGGAACGTCCAGGGAGGTTTCAGAAGTTGGTTGCTGAGCAAAACGTCTGACTTCAGCTGAAAAGGCCGGTTTGCTTGGTTTGACCTCCAAGTGTACCGTAGTTTATAGCAACTTTTGCCCAAGTAAGGAGAGAGTTGACGCAGGAAGAGTCCACTGCAAACCTTGTGTTGTCTCGAAAAGGCCGTCGGCAAGAGATGTGAAGCTCGTCCCTTTCTCGCATCAACTCGGAGGGGACGTGGCCGTGGGGGACGGTCACAGCAGCGCGAGGGCTCGGGGCCGCCGCGTTTCTCACCCTTTCTGTCTCAGGTCTGGCCGGCGTCTTAGAAGGCTGGCAAGTGTTAGTAAAGATTGGGGTTAAACGCCCCACAGCGACGACAAAAAGTGACAACAGAAGGAGGGAGAACAAAACCTTACCACTTGAACTTGTTGCTGATTGCTTTTCAGGTCTAATCATTGTTTCTAGTGATCATGCGCATCATGTTTGAGTCCCGTCTCTCCCAGGCTCTAGCCCACCCTCAGGTTTCCCCTGGGACATTTAATCCGGACTTCATGCTGCTTTGGGTGTTTGTATGGTGTGAAACAAAAAGATGAATGCTTTTTATGCGTATTATCTAGTGAGCTGTGGAATAATCTAGGTTATGCACATGTGAATTCGGGAAGTAAAGGAGCTTGGTGGAGTGGTTTTATAGGTGTGCGGGCTGAGAAGTTGGATTTTGAGATGGGCCTAAGCAGCCTCGACTTTTTGCTGTAGAAGATGGCAAGATTGGGAGTTCAGGAGCCTTTAAAGAATTTAAGATGAGGTCAGCACCCTTTAAAAAAAAAAATCTGTGTTTTAAATTTGTGACACTGATATATTTGAGAGGTATTTCTGGCGGCAGGACAGACTTAGCTGGAGGGCTGGGTGGGGAGTATTGTTTGAGTAATATTCTGAAGACTAAATTATGGACAGGGAATGGCAATGTACCTGCAGTTAAGTGACATACAATAGCTTTTCTCTTTCAGCATACCCATTATTTTTTGTAGGTGTAAGAATTAGAAGTAGAACCATTTTCGTCTGTATTAACTCTGTTTTGGACAGTTTTAAACAAATACAATTGTTACAAATACAGTTCCCCACCATCAGTAGTTTTTGATCCAACAGACTCAAAAACCAGTTTTGGGGTGGGATGGCATGTGCATATTTTTTAGTTTTAAAGAGGGCTTTTTTTTTTTTTTTTTAAAGATTTTATTTATTTGAGACAGAATGAGAGAGAGCGAGCACATGAGAGGGGGGAGGGTCAGAGGGAGAAGCAGGCTCCCTGCCGAGCAGGGAGCCCGATGTGGGACTCGATCCAGGGACTCCAGGATCATGACCTGAGCCGAAGGCAGTTGCTTAACCAACTGAGCCACCCAGGCGCCCTAAAGAGGGCTCTTTAAAACTCAGTGAGTTATTTATTTAAGGATTTTATTTGAGAGAGAGTGAATGAAAGAGAAAGAGCACACGGGCAGAGGCAGAGGGAGAAGCAGCAGCAGACTCCCCTGCTGAGCACGGAACCGGACCTGGAATTCAATCCCAGGATCCTGGGATCATGACCTGAGCAAAAGGCAGTTAACCGACTGAGCCACCCAGGCACTCGCAGTGAGTTATTTTAAATTCAGTTTTTCAGGGTTGCAGTGTAATGCTGACTGTTACCTTGGTGATGTTCCCTGTTACCTTCCACTGGTGGGCCTGCCTATGAAAGGTCAGCTGCTGTGTTGGTTAATGGTTAAGATGACATGCCTTTTCTGATGTCTGTTGGTAAGGATCAGGTGAATGGAATCAGCTTCTTTTTGTAAGTTGATATTTTGACAGGATATATGAAAATCTTTTTTTTTGTTTTTTTTTTCTTATCTCGGAAATGAATCTAATTTAGGGTGGGGGTGGTCCATTAGAAATCTGGTTTGCTTTTAATTTGTCCAGGACACCACCTAGTGGTGAAATGGGCATAATTGCAGGTTGATTAGGGAATTAGGATGGGAACATTGGCAAGAATTAACAAATGCTGTCTTACCTTTGATAAATAGGATTTGTGAGACCTTCAAATTCAGGAGGTAAATGAGAAGAACAGCAAGGTTGGTGATGATAAGAACAGTGGTAGAAATAATGTAGGAATGGAAGGACAATTGATTGTAATCTCTGCCCCCAACTTGGGGCTTGAACTCCAACCCCAAGATGATGAGTCACACGTTCTTACCAACTGAGTCAGCCAGGTGCCCTGGAAAGACCATTTAAAGCCTAATTGGAGGGGCGCCTGGGTGGCTCAGTCGTTAAGCGTCTGCCTTCGGCTCAGGTCATGATCCCAGAGTCCTGGGATCGAGCCCCGCATCGGGCTTCCTGCTCTGCGGGAAGCCTGCTTCTCCCTTTCCCGCTCCTCCTGCTTGTGTTCCCTCTCTCGCTATGTCTCTCTCTGTCAAATAAATAAATAAAATCTTAAAAAAAAAAAAAAAAGCCTAATTGGAGGAAATGACTTAATGGGTAACTCAGCTTGGAGAACTGTGATGCTTTTATTATATATTGATTATAGGTATTTTTCAAACTTTGTGTTTTTGGAGGGGGCATACAAAATCACAGTTGACCCTTTTTGTCTTATTTTTATTTTATTTTTATTTTATTTTTAAGATTTTATTTATTTGACAGAGACAGACACAGCGAGAGAGGGAACACAAGCAGGGGGAGTGGGAGAGGGAGAAGCAGGCTTCCCATGGAGCAGGGAGCCCGATGTGGGCCTCGATCCCAGGACCCTGGGATCATGACCTGAGCCGAAGGCAGATGCTTAACGACTGAGCCACCCAGGCGCCCCAGACCCTTTTTGTTTTAATATCCTACCTAAGAAAGAAGTAAGTTAAAAAAATACCTATTATTTTTCTTACTATTTCTTTAAATACCTCATTTTTAGGGACGCCTGGGTGGCTCAGATGGTTGAGCACCTGCCTTCGGCTCAGGTCATGATCACAGGGTCCTGGGATTGAGCCCCACATCGGGCTCTGTGCTCAGCGGGGAGCCTGCTTCTCCCTCTGCCTGCCTGTCTGCCTACTTGTGATCTCTCTCTCTCTCTCTGTCGAATAAATAAATCTTAAAAAAATACCTCATTTTTACGTGGGGAAAATTAATTTCTGGAAAAAAAGAATTATAAAGGTAGGGGGCTCCTAGCTGGCTCCGTCAGTGGTCAGTGGTGCGTGTGACTCTTGGTCTCAGGGTTGTAAGTTGGCGCTCCATGTTGGGTCTAGAGATTACTTAAAAATCTTGAAAAAAATTTTAAAGGTAGTTAAAAGGTAAGTAAAAAGGTGGCTAAAAAAAAGTGGAGAGGAGTCTATTTTATTTATACCTCTAATATCTTACTTGAAAAGCTATTCCTTATTTGGGCGTAGCTTGGTTTTTCTCTGAAAACTTTTACTCTCCGAACACTTGTAAAGAGTTTTGGCCATCCTAAGTAAAAAACAGTAGCCACTTTGAAAGGCTGTGAGGCAGTAGAACTGCATGGGTTTGTGGGTGTTTGTTTTTTTTGTGTGTGTGTGTGTATTTGTTTATCAAAATATTCCAGTTTTTTAGGATTCTTAAGTTCAGTTGCAAGGATCAGTTGTATTTGGAAGGGTGATTTTTTTTCAGGTAGCGTGTGATTTTTACCCTTTAAAATTCTCATTCTCCCTTTCACCAACAGAGGATTACAGGACCTTCCTGTGTGTTCCTCTAGGTTAGGCCTGGAATCATCACTTCTGTGCTCCGTTTGTGCCTAAGGTATCGTCCCAGACCCACAGTGCTGAGAAAACCTTGTTTGGATTGGATCCTTCCTGGTTTGTCTTTGTCCTCATTACCCTTCTGTGATTAATAATGGAATCCAGACTTTAGGAAAGTTAGGGGCAAAAATACCCAATTTGAGTTCACAAGTACCAGGACTGGGTACTTGCCACATGTTCTATTTTAATGAAAGGAGGTTAGTCGTGACCGTAAGTGCCTAATAGTTGATAATTACCCGTTTTGGCAATCAGTTGGTCTCAGATCTTGAGTTCAGGGGAAGTAGCTTCCTTGTTTGTTTCAGGAATACTTGAGGGCATATTGGGTAACAAGATAGATATATAAGTAGATGGTTTGTGATAAGGAATGATAGTTCACTTCGGTGTGGGTGCGGCCCCCCCCCCCAGTATTATGGGAATTCTTAGGTAATGAAATGACACATAGGGAACTTCTCTAGATTTTTTTCTTTTTTCTTTTCTTTTTCCTTTTCTTTTTTCTTTTCTTTCTCTCTCTCTCTCCAGCTCCCCCTCTCCCTCCCTCTCTCTCTCTCTCCTTTTCTTTCCCTCCCTCTTTAAAATTTTATTTATTTGACGAAGCAGGCACAAGCAGGGGGAGCGGCAGAGGGAGAGGGAGAAGCAGACTCCCGCCTGAGCAGAGAGCCTGATGCCTGAGCAGAGAGCCTGATGCGGGGCTCCATCCCAGGACCC